AAAACCAGGCTGTATCTCTCAGCTTAACTCCTATGCTCTTTGTCCGGAGCACTATCTGCAGTCCTCATCCATCATCTCTGCTTGAGGATCCTTCCTTTCCACCAAGCTTACAAATTATGCATATTAATAGCTTACTTCTGGCATCCTAAAAACAGGCTATATCTTTCAGCATAACTCCTAAAACCAGGCTGTATCTCTCAGCTTAACTCCTATGTTCTTTGTCCGGAGCACTATCTGCACTCCTCATCCATCATCTCTGCTCGAGGATCCTTCCTTTCCACCACGCTTACAAATTATGCATATTAATAGCTTACAACTTCTGACATTCAAACATCTTGTACCTGATGCTTTGAAGGATACTTCTACTTCTATCAAGTGGTTGCATTTACAGTGGGGTAAAAAAACGAGCATGATAATTAAAGATCTAATGAAGAACCAATCCTGTAATTAGCTAAGATACTACTAAACTACGTTAGTGAAGATGGCTTAAAGGCCAACAGAAGAGATGATGTGCTCTTGCCTACCAACTTTCTTGATGCATTTGGTAGCTTGAAACTTCCATGGTCTTTCTTTATAGAATTTTTTATTCGTCATTTCTTATTGTATTGTTTTATGACTAAAGCTATTTTGGGAGAGTTCTCCATTAGGCTACATATTTTATGTCTGGAGTGTGGAAGACATCTGATTCATCCTGATTATTTTTTTTATTAAATGTCTATATTTATAATTTTGACAATTTTATTCGGGTTACGTTATATTTTGAGTTTGTGTTACCTTATAATGTTAACAATCTTTAAAATAGCAGAACTACTTGACCTTTTACCGACGAATGCATAAGGTTCAAAGCATGTAGCATAAGCTTCATGGAGTTTGTTCAACTTATTTATGTATTTTGTTGACAAGTTACAAATGTTTAAATGCAAATTAAATTAGATGTAAAATTTCATATCTATCCATATCATAACACCTGAATATATTATAGATATAGACATGTGATCGGATTATATTTATGTTTGATATGAGAGCAAAATTCAACACAAAGTTTTAAGTTCTGAAGTATAAAAACGACCAAGGAAATGGTATTAAACTTGTTACATAACTCATTCTTTAGAAATTTTAGGTGTTTAATACATATCTTAAGGAACAAATGGATTAAAAGTTATCTTAGATATCTTTCCTTTGTTCAATGCGGACGGAAGATTCAAAATTTTATTTTTTCACAACGAATTGAAATTTAGCTCCTTGTAATTGATGTTTACAATACTTCAATAATGCTTATTTCAACTGAATTGAAAATCTATGGCTACAAAAGTAGATGCAATTTTTGATAAATATATTGTTCAAAGTAAAATAATAAGATTTTTTTCCTTTTCCGTTTAAGGTGGTACTTAAATATAGAAGTGTGACACATTTGTTTTGCTGTTGGCATATAGAAGCTTAAGCATTTTTTGCTTCAAAGCAAAGTGAGAAGCTGATAGCGCTCAACCATTTTTTGTAGAGCTTCATTTTGAAGTGCAAAACTGTTTTAAACAATTAAAGGCGACACATAATATTAAATGATTTGATGACACTACGAATAAGTATGGATTTCATAATGCATCATGTATTCATTGTTTAATGCTTTCAATCTAGCCATCATTCTCAACATGGACAATCTTAAGATAATGATGACAGCAAAATATCATTCTTTTTCTTTGGGCTTAATTTTCTTGCTTTTATTGGTGCCAAAAGCTGAATAATCCCTAATATAAATCATTGCTAGTGCAGCCTACCTCTTCCCTAGTAGTCTAGATCCTGATATTCTTGAAGGTCTACTTGGATCAGGTATCTCTTTTAATTTATTTAAAATTGTTGATCATTAGCTAATAATTTTTGTATGATTTCTTTTATTATTATTATTATTGTTAATATCATCATCATCATTATTATTATTTATTATTTATTGTTATTATTATTTTGTTTGCAATTTTTTCCTGCTTGTTCAGTTGGAGGAGTGATGGCTTTCCTCACTCTGCACGAAATGTTACCTCTAGCATTCGACTATGCTGGTCAGAAAAAGGCTGTTAAAGCTGTCTTTTTGGGCATGGCGTTCATGTCTGCAAGGTTTGTTACAAATAAAGTGAATTTTAATGTCTTATAACATCAATAGGTATCATGCACTTAAACCCTGTTTGAACCTAATGAATCATAAAAGCGCATCTGCTATGAATATATTGAATAAGTTTGTCTGGCTAGTTCTTTGTTAGATGTAGAAACTTATCCAGTGGAGAACTGTCATAAAGCAGAATGAATCATTGACTTACATTCAACCACAATAATGACTTCATCAAAATACTGAAGGCTACAGTACAAACCCAAGATGGTGCTGAATTGCTTTTGAGTAAAATTTCTTCCAAATTTTGGTCATATTGCATTCCAATGCTACTGTGAGTTTTGTTTAGATGATACAAAGAAAATTTACACAGTAAGGAAGGGATGCGCCACATTTGTACAAAGATACTACTAATAAATTAAAGCTGTAGGAATTAGAATACAATTTCAACAAATAGATAGAAAATATACTACTTTGACCCGATTCGGTTTGCATCCGCTTGCCAAGAACTCCGGTTCAAGCATTCCTTCCCCCTTTGATAAGTTAGGTGGAGAAATCTCCTTACAGATGCTGCTTGCAACCAGGGCATAACTAGCCCAATGCTTTTATTTAAGGTGAGGAGCCATGGCAGTGTTGAAGTAGTGGAAAGATGATTGGGCTTAAAGCACAACTTTTATATGAGGCACATAGTCATTTACGAATGTTTGCTATCGATTGATTGAGAGTGAACATGAATTTAGGTCAAGAGTAAGGCTAAAAAGTATGCAAATAGGTGCAATATTCTTTTTTTAATCACTCAGAGATTAATGTGATATTTATAGGCATCAGTTGGTTAATCATATGTGCAATAACTCAATTAGTTTTTGCCCAAATTATCACATTAAGATATCTATCTATCAGGGTGATGTACTAACTAATGTATGCATTTGGACCAATTGGATAATGCTTTGAGAAGAATGACCTAGTTTGGCAGTCCAATCAGCTTTATTATCTTCTCTATGAATAACTGACCAATGTACCTGCAAAATAATGATTAAAGAAAAAAATTGCTTCATTTGAAACATTATATAGTAAGGATACTCAACCATATGTGAACATCACTTTCATAACAGCAAAGAATCTATCTGCACTTGAATTTTATACCATCTGCAATTTTTAGCCAAAGTCAAATATTTAACAACAGAATCGGCTTTGGCAGCCAAAAAACAAGCTGTCATAAAAGGTGCCGCAAATCAGGCTAAGCAACTCCCATGGTAATCTCTAAAAACACTACCAATACCTGCATTATTATCTTTCCAACTTCCATCAACATTTACTTTCACCATATCATGCAAAGGAACTTTCCATTTGATAAGAATAGTATCAGATTTAGCTCCCAAATGAATAGGACAGTTAGTCTTTCTAAACAACTTCAGCGAACCATGTGAAATAGGTCTCTTAAACTTCCCAAACTGAAGTGGTTTTTAGAAGAAACCACGAATACAATTAAAAGTATCCTTCCCAACTAAAACTCAATTCTTATGTTTAATGTCATTCCTTGCCATCCATAGAAACCAAAAGGTAATAATAGGAACAATACTAAATAATTTACTTCCCAAGCCTTTTCCACTCCTAAATGCAGCTAGTGATAGAATTGTTTCCACCATTATAGAAAATTCTGCCAAAAAAATCGTAGACACGAGTCCAAACAAATTTAGAAAACCAGCAATTGACAAAAATATGTTCCATGGTCTCCTCCTCCTTCCTACAAAAAATGCAAACTGAAGGCACTTGAAGCCCTTTAAGCTTTAAAATGTCATCAGTAGGAATAATATTATGCAAAATTATCCAAAATAAAAAAGGATTGAGAAGGCTTAACCCACTGATTCCAAATCCACCTCAAATCTTTCCCTTGAGAATGAGGTAAAAATTTAGCAATAATTTTAGATATAGTATCACCGAAATAATTCTTGATTTTAATTTTATCACAAGATCCCACGAGGATGGGCACATTGGAAATATGATAAGCATCATTTTTACTTACCAAATTCTCCAACATACCAGTATCCCAACAGAAATCCTTCTAGCAATTAGAAACCGCAAGTTTAATATCATGAGGACCCCCATAAAAACCAGCAAGAGAACCCGTACCCAACCAATCATGATACCAAAAACTACATTTTCCATCCCCAAACTTACCAAATTCTCCAACATACCAGTATCCCAACATAAATCCTTCTAGCAATTAGGAACCGCAAGTTTAATATCATGAGGACCCCCATAAGAACCAGCAAGAGAACCAGTACCCAACCAATCATGATACCAAAAACTGCATTTTCCCTCCCCAGTATCCCAACAAGATCTTCAACATCTTTAGCATGTTTAAGCATCTACTTCGAAATCAAAGAATCTTTGATGTTAGAAGAAGTAGAAAGAGGATGAGACAAAGCATAGTACTTAGCTTTCATAAAAGATGTCCAAAGGGAATTTAGCTCGAAAACGAATCTATAACTTCATGAAACAAATTTTCCTTGAATCCTTAAAGCTCCTGAAACCCAAACCGCCATAGTTAATGGGTTTGCAAAGTTTAGACCAGCATTTTCAATGAATTTTTTTCTCTTTACCTGACCAGAGGAACTTATTAAAGATCATTTCCAGGCATTCACTGGAATCTTCATAATTTGTATCATATATATAGGAATAGAGTTCTCCCACCAAATGACAAGAAGCTATTATCCCAACTAAGAATCAGATTTTTCACTTTATCAATTAGCTTATCAAACAAATAATTCCTTCTCCTGCCTTTCCCCATCATAAGTCCTAGATAAGCTTTAGGAAGATCCTTTTTATTACAACTAGAGACATCCTATGTCCAATTCCTTTTAGAAGAAGAAACCTTTTCGACACAGTAAAAACAACTTTTGGAAACATTTAAACTGAGACCCGAGGCAGCCTGAAAATTCTCCAAAGTTCCCCGAAGTCTTTTTACAAATATTTGGCATTAGTAAAGATGACCAAATCATCAGCATAAGCAAGATGGGAAATTGTAAAATTTTCTTTAATATCAAAACCCTTACTAAGTTATTTAAAAAGAGATGATTTCAACACCTTGAAAGATAATCAAATGCAATAATAAAAAGATTAGGAGAAAGAGGATCTCCCTACTTTTTCTCTTGTGGCATTGAAGAAACCACACCTCCCATTTAAAAACAAAGAGTAGTAATTGTTCTCCGAAATCCTTTTGATGATATTGCAAGAATCCATATTAAAGCCAATATGCCTCATCACACCTAAGATGAACTCCCATCTTATAGTATCATAGGCATTCTTGATATCCATTTTAAACACAATATTTCCACCTCTACCTTTTCTATCCATATTAAGCACCAACTCCTAGGCAATTAAAGCATTATCAAAAATAGACTTGCCTTTGATAAAAGCAGATTGTTGAGCACTAATAATCTGGTCAAGGTGAGGCTGTAATCTTGTCACCACAATTTTGGAGATAACTTTGAGCTAATATTATTTAAGCTTATAGGTCTATAAGCATCCCAACATAAACTCTTTTTAGATTTAGGGATTAAAACAATATTAGAAGACTTACAATACTTAGGCAAATCCATTCCTCTGAAGAAATCCTGAACCGCAACAATGACATCAGATTTAATCACATTCCAAAATTTTTTATAGAATGCTGTAGAAAAACCATCTATCACAGTCGTCTTCTTACAATCCATACTATCAATAACAACTTTAATCTCCTCCTCTAGAAGGAACTTGGAACTACTAAGCATATCAGTATTAATAGCATCCAACTCAATATTGTCACTATTAAGCAAATTCGAGAAGCTTCCTCAATAAGATCAATATTATGAATAATATTGCCATTGGAAGCTTTAATTTTATTAATAACATTTTGTTTTCTACGATTCTTAATAAAAACATGAAAGTAGGAAGAATTTCCGTCACCATCAACCAAAATATGACCCACAACTTTTTGATTATAGTTAGCTTCTTCCATGGCAATAGCAGAATTAAGGACATTATGAGCATTAAGCAAACTATCCCAATCAGTTAAGCCCTCATTCATATCCATCTCAAGCTTTTTGACATTCTCTTCAACTTTACAAACTATGGTATGAAGGTTACCAAATGCTTTCCAATTCCGCTTCTTAAGAATAGTAGCCAAATTCTTATGAAGTTTCCAAAGATAGATACTAGAATTAACATTAGAATCTCCTTTCCAATTGTTTAACACCAATCGCTTAAATGAAGGATGAAGAGTCCACATATAAAAAAATCTGAAATGATAATGTTTAGAATTTCTGCTAATATTAACTTCCAGCAAAATAGGATCATGATCAGAGCCTGTTCGAGCAAGATAAACATTAGAAACCGGAAAACAATCACCCCACCATCTATTAGAAGCATATCTGTGAAGTTTTTCATAAACATTACCTCTTGAACAAGTAAAGTGATTACCATTGAAACCCATATCAAATAGACCAGCAGCCACTAGCATACCAGATAACTCATTGATAAGGTTTAACTTTGTAGAACATCCCCCTTTCTTTTCACTAATAGAGGAAATAACATTAAAATCCCCTCCCACAACCAAGGATCTGTCATATTAGAACTGAAAAGAATCAAATTATTCCAAAGATTCTCCCTGGCAGCTTTGGAACAACCTGCATAAACCACTGTAACCAAGGAGTCGTTACAGCAAACATTTAACTGATTGAATTGAGGATGATCAATCAAAATAATAACATCAATATAATCCCTCCAAATAAACCGGATTTTGTTATTGGAGTTGGCAAATAAGTTAAATTTCCCAATTCTTTTTACGAACTTATCATTATTATGAACAACAACCAAAGGTTTCAAGATTCTAAGGAACATAAGCTTATAAGATTTGATGAGACTTTTCAATCTATTAGAAGTATCGTGATCATCAACACTTCTCATTCCAGATAAGAAATTTAAACATCATTAAAAACTTTAGATCTCCTAGTGCTCCTAGGAGTTAAAGTTAGATGTTTATCCAATTTCCTCCCACTCACCATTAGCATGCAATTTAGTAAATTTACTTCATCCCAAATGATTTTTTTTTTCATTTGGATCGCGTAATGTTATGTATTCTTGGAATTACATATTTCATGGAAGTATTTTTGTAATCATTCATTTGTCTGACTTTTTTTTAAATCCGAAAATTTAAATCAAAGTCATTTATCTTCAATTTTGACATTTTTAGATTCCTTACTAATTTGTTTGTCAATAAAAAAAATATAAAAGCCATCAAGTTAAGATGATTAGCAAATGGCAAGCAATGGTCCGCTATGGTGAATGCCATAGGTTGAGATGCAACCAATAAAGGGTAGTGCTGCATTATATTGACAATTGGTAGTGATGATGGCAAGAGGTAGGAAGTGGTTGGCTTAGACATTAGTTAGTGATGTTGATGATTGTCAAGGTAGGTGACTAGTGATGTTGCATGCGAGTCATTAGATAGAAATATTGTTGATGGTTGATAAAGGCGACTAGTGGTGGTGAATGTGAGTGGTGAGTGGTGATTGGTGATTGGTGATTGGTGATTGGTGATTGGTGGCAACATAAAATATTTAGTGGAGACAGTGAATTTTGGTTGTTGGTGGGTGAGTTGGCAACATAAAATATTTAGTGGAGACAGTGAATTTCGGTTGTTGGCGGCGACAACAACTAGAGTTGAGAAAAAGACGGGGTGCGGTGGGGTTATTTCTTTGAAGTGATGGATAGACGTGAATTTGATATTTGATCACCCCAGCCTTAATAAGATCATTGTCAAAATCAAACATTTGGGCTTTTAGGACAAATTTTTGGCTATTGTGATCATAATATTTCAACAAATTGGGTGTGTGTATTTGTATGTGTATGTATGTTCATCATTCTATCTTTTCTTTGTCAATGTTTCTAAAATATTTAAGATTTTGGCACTAGGTCTCTCTTGAATACCTCGCACAACTTCTTGTAACTTTTTTTGTTCTCTCTTATTATTGTTGAATATACATTTAGAGAATTTCAAACCTGAACAGACATAATACTAGCCCTTTGAAATGTAATACTTATAATTTATTTCAATTTTGTATATCCAATATGAAATGCTTTTCTTATTAAAATTCCAATATGTTGTTTCTCTCTTTCTTTCTTCTTACTGCTTCAAGCTTGTGATGATTCAGTTGGTTTTTTTATACCCTCGTATTTCCTCATATTTTCTCTTTACAATAGCTTGATCTGTACTATTTTTTTCATTTTTTTTTCTATATAGGATTTCAAAATGAATTATCTGTATTTAATTGAAACTAGCAGTTAGATAAAATGTGCAATTTGAAATTTTGTTCGACTAATTTGATGCTTATTTTGATTGTTCCAATGTTTTGTTGTTGGTAGCTTGTACTTTCTAGAGATCAGTTTACCGAAGGAGCTGAGCTAGTAGTCTTGGAGATCGACTGGAACTGATTTTGTGCTGTAATATATAATTCATAGTTTTACAGGTTAATTCTATCTTTTCACGTAGTATCCTCTTGAATAGAAATTTCTTTATATATTGTTTGTTCTGTCATTTATGCATAAAACCTGTTTTTTCCAACGTGCAGCTAAACATTACTTGTAACAGAGCCGTTCTTTTTTCAATTTCCTCAAAATGCTTCAGATATTTCGTTATATTTACTGGCTACTGGAAAAATTTCACTTCTCATTGGAAGAAAAACATCAATTTTACAAATTTTTTCCTTGAACTTAGGACAACCTGGTTTGATTTTGGTTAGTTTCACTGCACATTTTATGACACCCACAAGTTTTTTCTTCTCTACCTTTTCCTTGTTACAGAAACTTCAGAGCTCATTGACGCATTATTGGAAAAAATAAAAATGTCACAGTTGCTGTCCCAATCCTACCAAATTGGTACTCTGGAGTTGTCTGACTTGGAACCGATTCATAATTGGTTATATGTTTCATTTATGATATATTACCAAAAGCTGAAATGCTATCACTATGTAATGGATATGCGGTTATTTGATAATACGATAAATTTTCATGTTACTAAAATGATAACTTATCTGATGGTTCATTTGTTCAAGTTCATTATTGGGTTGCAGTACGTAATTAGTAGTCAATATTAATTTTAAATTCCACGCACAAATGCCCTGGAAATTCTCTAAAACATAATTATTTGATGTTCTTATTAAAAACCTGTTCATCCTTCCCATTTGCAAGCAACCGAATAAACTATTTTGCCTGCAACCTTGCTTCACCTGTTTAGGGAGCATATTATGTGATACTTTGACTTCACAATTTAACTTGCGGTAGGTGTGGAGGCGTTGGGAGTGATGCCTGGAATGATGTGGCAAAAGCTTAGAAGGAAAACTAATAAAAAACCTGTGGTATAAGATGACAACAAATAACGCAGGGGGCTAAGGAAATGGAAAATGAACATAATGGTTTTATATTTTCTTTCTTTCTCACGTACTTTAGTGCATGTCCAATATACATATGTAATAAATATCCTGGAATAATACAATGTTTATACAAAGTTGCTGGCATATGTTAAATAAAATGATGTCTCTGAAACAAAGTGATAACCCGCAAACTAGAAATCATGTATAGGTGGGATGCTATTCTACAAAAGATCAAGCTGCGGAATCGTCTTAGTAAGCAACTTCGATTCGAAATAGGTCTGATCTCTTCTACATGAGAAGGGTGAAGGCAAAGATTGCTCAAACAACAGTAAGCAAGGAGTAGGTTTGAGCGGTCCTGCATTGCAAGCTTTCATACATCGTTGTGTATTCAGGTCGTGCATGCAAGATAAAGGGATGAATTGTTGGGGCAAGCTCCCAATCATTTATATTTTAGGGGCAGTTGGAAAATGAAATGAAATGTCAAATGTTCGTAGAGTAATATGATTAAAATATATTTTATGTATTTTTGAGTTGTTTGGTTCATTGTAAAATAAACGTTGGACTTTGCTTCTCTTTTATTTGGTTTGAAGTTGATTGAAGACAATGTGTTTATTTGGGTAAAAAGCGGTGCGGGCGGGAAATGGGCTAGCGAGGGTGGCAGGGAGAGACGATTGTGGGAGGTGTGCGATGACGGCGAACAGGTGTGTGGTGACCGTGAGCGGTGACGACCGGTGATAACTGGTGGCAATCGTCAGCGGCATGCGAACAATGGTTTAGCGGTGGCGATGGATGCGATGGACGGGCGGAGTGGGGGGGTGGAGTGGTTATCGATTGCATGCTGCGACAACGGCTGCCGACTGTAGTTAGTGTCGGCATCTGGTGGAGGCGGCAAGCTGCGGTGACTTGCCTATAATATTTTACATGAATGATGTAATTTAAATTCTGTCAAATCGATCAAATTCTTAATTCAGCCAAATAAATTTTCGTGTAAACTTCACATTCAAACTTTATATTGTATTTGCAAATTTTCATTTCAAACATATAATTTACTCAAATTCCCGTAAAAAAATTATTATACATCACTAATTCACTCAATCAAACAACCCCTCAAACAAAGTGATAACCAGCAAACTAGAAATCATGTCTAGGACAAAACACTAAAAGGAGCAATCCAGGCTAGGTTTCATTCGAGATTCTTTATTTGACATATTTAAATATGATTAAACTAAATGAAGATATTTTAGATTTTGAGAATAGATAAATACATATTTATTAATTAAATTTAGTAAGAGAAATTAAAAAAGTTTATTTATACATGTATTAAATAGATGAAGTTGTTAGAATTAAATAGTTATAGTTCATTATGAATGGCTAAGGATTAATGTATTTTAAACGGAAAAATTAGGATAATATATATATATATA